CTTGCTGGCCGGCCGTACTACGGTAACTCTGGTCCTGCCAGGGAACGGAAATTACGAATGACGGCGCCTATATATCATTTCTCGCTTAAGCTGTAGAAGCACAGGCATCACTCAGAAAACCCAAAAACAATTTTTTATAAACCGTCCTTAGCTTAGAAAAAAAAGCACAATCTTTTCCGATACTAATTATTTAAACTGTGGCAAGAAAAATCGCAGAGTCAGTACTGTTACGCTACTACGCGTTCCAGTGTCCAACTAAACAAACCGAAAGAGCCAAAATATCCATCCCTAGAGCTTCTAGACAGCAACAATAAATACCGGTCATGATCAGAGTGCAGGGAAAGCAATCTCTTCAATAAATGCAATAAATTCCTTGCATAGTTATTTTTCAATCGATGTTATTCAATTATTGTTTATGAGTAGCAGAGCTAAGAAAGAAAAAAATTCAAAATGCATAATTTTTGATAAAATTCTAAATTGAGAATTTTTCACTCAAGGGTTCCGTCTAAATTCTTTCCAGCTTTTCCGGATGTCGCACATTAGTCAGTAGATACACAGATAAATCTCTGCAAAAGCTGGTTGAACGAATCAATTTTCAGCGGAACCTAAAGTATTGGTTTTACGTACGAGCAGTTTTAGTTTAAAGTTGGTTTTACTTCAGATGTGGTTTTCTAAAATATATCTGAGTACTTATTTGTTACGGATGCAAATGAACAGACTGAAGATTTCGGTGGCAATTCGCTTCTGCTATACATGATCGGCTGTAGGTTGTCAAGGTAACGTCATTGCAATCATTCGCACTGCTGGCCATGTCGACGTCTAAACTGAAAATCTTAGTCTTGGGACCTGTTAAGGTTGTATTTTTTATATACGTGTGCACAAAAACTTTGGAACTGAGACAGTTACTTATAATTTTGTTAGCTACTTTATACTAAAATTTCATTACAATAACTATGACCTTTATTGTGTTTTCAGTTACCGGACACACTTAATGATTGTTCTGGGGTAAAAATAAGCTGCATATTTAGTTATTTTGTTGTGTAAAGGTTGCAAAAATAATAATATTGTCTATAGTCAAAGCAAATAATTAAAGTTTAAGAGAACTGCTATTTCAAAACTGTACGGCGTAATTACATTTCCAAAAGTTTGCAGAGTGGAAAGACAGCCATTGCCAATTTTTTGGCAGACTCGAGAGAGTTTGACGTATTACAGTACAAACCGACCGTCGGTAAGTTTCGGACATCATATTTTTTGTTCAGGACAGAAAAAGTTAGGTTTCGTTTTCACTTCTCTTTATTACGATGTTCTGTGCTTCAAAATCATCAAAATTTTGAAGTGCACTGCAGGAGTGAGAATTTTAAAAATGGAAGGAATCAAGGTGGTATTGAATGATCATAATGTGACTACTGAAGTTGAGCTTTGGGACTGTAGCGGCGATTTTAAATATGCGAAGTGTTGGCCGGCTCTGCGTCGGAAAAGCCAGGGGGTAATTATTGTTTGCAGACCGGAAATGAATGATGGCAGATCACTCTTGCCCTGGTTGTCTTACCGTTATTGACTGCTATTTAGTTAAACTAACTGACAGAATTTATTGGTATTTGTCACTTGTCAAAGGAAGCGGATAGAAATTTAGTTTTCAAATGCTTATTCTTCCAAATTTCTTCTGCTTACTTGTAGGCAGTTAAAGATTTGTCTTGTAAATTTTAAAATTCTTAAATTTTTTTCTTCCGGCACAAAGATTTTGAGGTTTTTTAAATCTGTCAGACTTATAGCTTTCTAGTTTTAGGTATACAGAATTTGTTGAGCGCGCTGGTCTGGATGCATCGCGGGCTCTTGTATTATTACATTATTCTGCAGAATCAACAAGCGATGAAGCAATTGCTGACTTCAAGCTTGTTGGGCCGATGGAGAAACTTCCAATTGTTTTAGTCAATATTCAGAAGGAGGGTGATAATTTGCAACTGGAATTCAACAGTTTTTTAAGCCGCATTTTGACGCATTCGCAGTTTCTTTCGATGTAAATAGCAATTTTAGCTTTACTGATGGGTTCAGGCGTCTTACATAATTTTTTAAGTTTTTTCATTCACTTTTATCGCTTTTTAATGCTTCTCATTGTTTGCATTTGTTGATAAGAAGTTATACCATATAAAGCATTGGTGGTTTCTGCTTTTATTGTCTGTACTACGCTTTAATTATGTATTACTATATTTTGAGACTGTGATCATGGCCAGAATAATGAGGCTGGTCTTTGCCGTTAAGTTCTCTTTTTTGTTGTTGCTTTGAATAAAAATTTTGTAGAATTGTTGATCCAGAGTATCTGCCTTTGTTGCCCTTGATATCTGCGTATTTGTTGCTGGTTTATGCGATGTTTTTGTATGATAAGACTCATTTCTCTTTTAAAAGAAGGTAGCATAAGTAGGTGTTTAAACGAGTGTGTCAAATGGGTTCTCAATCTACAGAAACGACAGATTAAATGTGTTGGCGTTTTGATTATTGGAAAGGGCTCAAAATATTGTGTGGCTAGGTTGGCCATATAGACAAAACTGAAGTTATGAGGAGAGGTGTTCTAGTCTTTTTAAAGTGAGCGGAAACTTAGACTTATCATAACGGATTTAGGAACATTGGTCAGAGGCTGTCAGGCTGTCAGTCATTGGCTTTCCTTTCAATTCTGGTGGGCTTTGTGTCGCTTTTTGCTTCAGCCTGTTGGACTGCATAGCCAATTCGGCAAATGTCAAGATGGTCATCTTGGGTGGTTTACCTAATGATTGCTTTTTGGCCTCTTCTTTTCGATTCTTATGCTTTTAATTGAAATATTTATTTTTTGGTCAGTGCTGTTATGCAATCTAAAATTTTACCTGGCGGAAGTAACAGCACCTAATTATAAGATGTAAAGAAAAGAAAAAAAAGTAGACTTGTGTTGAATTATGCTTTTCTCTTATCTGAATAATTCTGGGTGATAACTGTAGGTCAGAATTTTTTGGTCTGCTGATTGTGTATACGAAGTCTGACTAGTGGATATCGGTGAGAAATGTTCTGACTAGACAATTATTTATGTTCAAATTTTGACTTTGATCTGCTAATTTACCAAGCAATAATCGTATGATAGCAACAGCGATCTTACATTTATACTATGCGTTATGGATATTGTATAAAGTTGGTGCTGAAGGAAGCTTTCAACAGAAAATAAGCTTAATTGCTGGTATGGTGATAGAGATAAGGAGGGGGTAGAATGTGGTATTATAGATTTCAGTAGCCAACTTTTTTTACGAGTTGTTAGAAAGCTTATTAGCGAAAAAATTTTTGTTTCTAATTGCCTTACATAAATAATTTTAAAAGCCACAGGATTGCAAATACGAAAAAAAACTGAAAAATATGCAAGGTAAAAGTTGCAGAAAATTTGCGCAACAACTTTTTCAACGGAGTTATATTAATTTAAACAATTTTTTCTTACTTTTACAGTTCTGTTACATGTTTATGTATTGATGTATGACACTTTATATCGGCAAGATAACAGATGAAAGAAAACTGCATATTATTAAAAGATTTTTTAAATTTTTACCTGATTTTTGGTTCCACAAAGTCGTTCTTATATATGTTGGAGACTAAGCAAGAAACCTAACAGGCAATCTTAAGTTTATCTATTTCTATATTTTATAAATTCAATTTTAATTTTGTTTATTTGTTTGTGAAAAACATTTGCAGTAGCTAAACTAGCGTTAGGATTTAAAAGAAAGTTGTACATATATATGAAATTCTATGATCACTTTTGATTATTAAAAAATGTTTTTTTTATATAATTTTTATATAAAATATAAAAAGGTATATATATATATATATTTTTATATAAAATATATAAAATATATTTTTTTTATATAAAATTTTTATATAATTTACATTGTTCAGCTAAACAGTCAGTGAAAAGTTGAATTGAACGTTGCCGAATATGAATGCAAGAATACTTTAAAGTGAAACAGTGACATTACAGTTGTAGATGAATAACACCTATTTATTATTTAACACTTTTTTTTGATCTCTTTATAATGTTTCAAAACCAAAACTACTTTTTTTTTTTTGGTTGTGAAAAGAAAAAAGAAGTACTGGCCGACAGAACAGCAAATTTCGTTTTAGAAAAAATTGCTGTGGATGGATGGTGGAAATGTAGGAGTAATGTTAAAAACATTTTTGGAATCTGACTTAACAAACTTAGACTCAATAATATTGGTTGCGTAAGAAATGTTTTTGTAATCTGAAAGCTATTTTAAGCTTTAAAAAACTTTTATTGATTTAGAGCAATACTTTGTTTTTTGGTAGAAACTTTAATTCACTGTTGGAGACTGAATGAACAGTTGAATTTGTCACTTCTACAGACTTCTCACTTCTGCTGTTACAGTTTTTCAGAAAATTAAGTCAAATGTAGCATAATGGGAATAAAGAAGTTTAACTCCAGTTTTATAAAAAATTATTATAAAAAGATTAGAATTAATTTAATAAGAGTGTATGCAGTTTTGTACGACAATCAGATGCTGTTTTTAGCAGTTGATAGGATAAATAATAAGAAGGAAGTTATGCAAAATAAAAAACCAATTGAAGTCATAAGTTATCAGGAAGGTTTGATTAATAAAATCATTTGGTTTTTGGAGGAAAGATTAAATAATATAACTTTGTTTATATTGTTCTTTGTTAATTATAAATATTTACTTTTTTTAATAATTTTTTATAGTATACTATATGATCTTTCGTTTTGAACACTTCTTTCCTATTCGTTATGTAATTTGGTACTGAAAAAATTTTTGGTGTTTTTCTTTGTTTATCAAAGAATCAGACAGTTGTATACGTCATTTAAAACTTAGTAAGAAAATAATGGCTAAAAATACGACTGAATTATGTTCCTTAAATTAGACCTATTATCATTATGCTGTTGCAGTTTTGGTAATTTAGTGTTTATAAAACAGTTAATATACAGCGGTTTAGTTTTGTGGTTGCTTACAACAAAAAATTTTGATTTGTGTTACGTTTAAGTTAAATAAAAATTTACTGGGTAAAGCGACAGAAGAACTGTTATTAGTAATGTCTAATTTTTTTTTCAACAGTATTTTCATTTTTTTTATCATTGGATCTGGCAAAAAAAAAGCAAGAAAAAAATGGTATTTCAATTTGGTAAAGATTCATTAAACCTTGATCTGGTTATTTCTTGTTTATGGACGACAAATACAACATCTATGCAATGTCTAACTGATGGTATACAGCATCGGCTACCGCAGCGTTTTTACTTGAAATTTTACTGATTATAAATTCTGTTGAAGCTATGAAGCAAAATTTGAAATGTTTATGTCTACAAGATTAGGTGTTATAGAAGCACTTAGTTTCTACATCAGTGCTGCTACTAATTCAATAATTGCTTTGGAATAAATTAAACAACTTTTTTTAAACAAGGAAATTCATCTATTTTCAAGTATAAAATTTTAATTGGCTACCACAGACATCTCGTCTAATTGTAACATCGTCTGCAACATTTGTTGGGGTGTTATATAAGGTAAGAATATTTTGACGGTTTAATTCCGTTTAACAAATATGAATGAAGATTTTTCTTTTTATTTCCTCTTCATTTGTTCTTAGACTATTGACAAGACCGGAAGACAGTATATTTTTAATTGTTAGTCGTTCGAGTTAAACAAAAAAAAAAACCTGCAAATCCTAGACAAAGGAAAGCTAAACAAAAAGTTTTGCAGACATCTGGTATTTTTCGCGAAGTTTTGGATAGTTGTACTTCGACAGCATTAGTACGCTAAGAGTAATTCCACTGATGACCTTTTCGTTTTTAAGATTTTAGCTGTTGCATAAGCTTTGCTACATAGCACGAAATACTAAATTCAATTAGATAAAAGTTAGAAAAAGTGATGAAGATCAAGGAATTCTGCACGGTCATGGAAAAGAACTAAAAATAGTAATTTTCACAGGAGTAACATAGCTCTTTCTACTTCAAATCAAGGCGTGCATTTGCATAAGATAAAATTAGTGTTTCCAATAATTCTTTTTCAGAATAAAAAATGTAAATGTTTTTTTTTGTCGAATGAATGAAACGATTGCATATATATTGAAAAAAGGCAAATCTTTTATTAAATTTTGGCAAACTGAGATTGATGTAATGAAATTGTCAAATACCGGATTTCCTTGATTTCACTAGTGCCGTCTGTAGCTCTTAAATGACTCAGTATAGAAGTATAGAGGTTTTGGTAAATTTAGTCGTATTTTTCATAAGTTCTTCATTGTTGTCTATTTCAAAAAAGCACTATGATCTCAAGCAGCTTGGGTGCCATATATGTTACCTGCATTCTACTGCAAACTGTTTCCAAAATACACTTTTTTTTTTTTGTAAATTTTCATAAATTACGTAGTACTATTACAATGCTATATTGAAAAAAAACTGTGTTTAAAAATGAAGCGCTGTATTTAGAATGTGTGACGTTTATGTTGTCTGGTTTAAAACTTCTGGCGGAAATTGCAGCTCCTCGTGATCAGTCTTTTGCAGAAGCGACAAAGCAATATGCGTCTCAAATTTGACATTATGATGCTTAAAAACCCAACAGTTACACAGCGAAATGAAATTGAAAATAAATCTCACCAAGTCTGGCACTGGATTTTTTTTTTATAATGCACGTGACATCTTCTGACGCTAGAAACCACATCTATCAGCTAAGTTTACTTACTCATATCCAACCTTTCGGCGTTGTACAGAGGATTGAATATAACGCCTGGATGAACACCGGGTGAGCATGTGTCAAACAACTGCAACACTTATTCATTATTTATGAACACCACTTACCACTTTAATACATCAAGTGATTTCAAGACCGAACCGTATTGTGGTTGCTTGGGCAAAAAGTAAAGCATATAATAACGTGACAGTTTTATCCTTTTTACGTGAAATAATCTTGCATTTGTTACTCAAATGTTTTGTTTTCCTGAACTGTGGATAAAAAGATTCAACATTAATAATTTGAAATAATCTATTTAACTGCAC